AGTAGAAGTTGGGGATGCTGCTGAACATTCTACAGCACACAGAGGGTAGGGTGTGGGTGGGGCACAGAGTCAAACATCAAGAATTGTCTGGCCTCAAATATCAATAGAGTTAAGCTTGAGAAATTCTGTCAATATATCCAACCCATGGTTTCAATACACAGCCAAATGTAAAAATTAACCAACCCGATTACTTCAATCTTGTTTTCAGCCTAAGTCTTAACCTGGTGGTTATTTTACAGTTAGGCCAGCCATATTTCAACTGCTCAATTGTCATATGTGGCTTGAGCTGCTGTAGTAGATGCCAGTGCTTACAGAGTGCATAGTCAAAGTCAAGTATAATTGAAGTCCTGGAAGCTTATCGTGCCCATCACATATATCCCAGGCAAGACAAATATGGCGAGACAAAGTCCTCCTTCCCTTCAGAGAGCCGCATGCAGAGGAACTGGACGTGAAGACTGCTTGTAACCTTTCTAGTTAGGAAACAGGAGTACGCTTTATTTAAAACAGCGTCTCTGCACCTTCTGCATTCTTTCCCTGAAAAATGCTATCAAGAGGTAGTATTTCCCTATCCCCTGGAGGCAAAGGTCAGCATACCCCGTTGGGAAGATTACTAGGAGAAAGAACTTCAATGTGGCTCTGAGGATTTAGATATCGATCGCTGAGCCTTTCAAGTAGTTAAAACAAACAACCAAGGGCCGCCCTTCGCCTCCCCCAAAGCACTCTATTATGATTTTTCCTTTCTGAAAAATGAAAACGAAAGGGTTTCAGGTTAAAGAGAAGGCGATCACGTGCTAATCAGAGCTTCAGAACAATCTAAACTGACCTTGGTGCAACACGCGGCAGTTTGTAATCCCCAATTTGAAGGCTTCACAGCATCTCATTAGTTTGGAGTTTCAGTACGGATAATTCTGCATTGAGTGAGTGATTAAATGTGACATAGAAGCAGGAGAATGGATTAGTGACAGGCCCAGGGGTCCCTGTGTGGGGGCCTTTCCTGTCTCTGCCCATGAGAAAAGTAGGCGAGAGGCTTAGCAGAACTCCCAAGAGGCTGGATGCTGGTGCAAAATGCCACGGCTTATCTGTGGCTATGACACTGGGCCAGTCGTAATGGAGACGGAGACCTTATGGAGGGACTCTATGGAGGCTGGACCCATCTAGGAAGCAATTGGACTGCATCTGTGGTGCTGTCCATCCTTCCTGCCAATGTTGAGACTGTCCTCGATTTTCCAGAGCCAGGTGTTCCTTTTAGCCCCTAGTGAGAGGAAGGTAGTCTGGTCTGACTTACGCCAGAGTGGAAATCGCCTCCTGTTATCTCAGAGTCTTCTAAAGCCTGATTCTGTCTGGCAGGACCAGGTTTTGCCTGCAGTGAAGAGAGACAAAAAGAGTTTCAGTGTTCAGTGTCGACCAGGCACTCGTCTTCAGAGTTGGGGCTTGGACAGGGATTCATGGAATTTACTGTTTCCAGAAAGCCCCCACCTCCAGCTAACACTCAGATTTCCACACCCGGAAACCTGCTCTTTGTCTCAAAGCCTACAAGGAGAGAATTATAAAATGATTTTGGAAAGAAACTCAGTTTTTTTTTTTGTCATTTATCAGTCAACATTTCCTGAGCCCCAACTGTGCATGAGATTATCTGTGCAGATTATCATTAGGAACACAGAGACTGGAGGAAGGAAGACACATCTCTGGCCTTTCAGGAGCTCATGGAAAGACAGCAATGGACAGGTGTTCTGAGGATAGAGAGCTGAGGAGGCCGGGAGGGAGAGGAAAGGTTCATGTGGTTGGAGAAATCAAATTAGTCTTCTGGAGTGTGATGGAAAGGAAAGCTTGAAGCCAGGAAACACCGCCTTATGCTTTTTCCTTCTATAATTGAATTCTTATAGCACAATGCAAGGTTTCACAGCTACAGGGATGGAGCAGGTGTGGTCCTTGTGTCTAGACCCTACGATCTCACTATACTAAACTAACGTGAAACACATTCTTCCCTAAAGATGTGGTACACAGCTCGCTCATCATTCATTAAACAAATCTCTGGTGAGCATCTGCTATATGATGATAGGGATATGGAGGGAAGCAAGACAGATAGTCTTGATTTTCTAAAGTGTATGACCTAGAGAGGTGGGAGACAACAGGCGAGCTGTTACAAGTGTAAGACTCAAGAGACACCATGAGCATGGCAACTCTTATAAAGGAAAACATTTAATTGGGGGGCTGCCCTACAATTTCAGGTTTAATCCATTATCATCACGGTGGGACATAGTAGTGTGCTATCAGACATGGTGCTGGAGAAGGAGCTGAGCTTTCAACATCTTGATCTCCAGGCAACCTGAGTTGAACTAAATTCTACACTGAGCGTAACTTGAACATATGAGACCTTAAAGCCTGCCCCCACAGTGATACACTTCCTCTAACAAAGTCACACCTACTCCAACAAGGCCACACCAAATAGTGCCACTCCCTATAGACCAGGCTCTCAAACGCACGAGCCTGTGGGGGTCCATACCTACTCAGACCACCACATGGGGTGTATTGCCACATGTGCAATCTGCTATGTGAGAGAAGACCCACTCCTTCAGAAGTGATGGCTAAGCCAATACTTGAATGTAAAACTAGCTACACTAGCTGGAGGTGCCGGGGGGCTGGGAAGAGAATATGCCTGTTGCAAGGAAGAGACTGCAAGAGTCCCAAGAGCATGGTACTTTTGATAAACGTCTATGCTGGCTGCAAGAGACAAAGATAAAACCCAAGGAGTCAGGCTTTTGATGAACTGGCTATTAACTCTATGACTCCTGGACACAATGTCAAACAAATCAAAGATAAAGTAAGCATCTTCTTTCCCACTTCTAGGTGCAGGAGAGGAGGCCTTTGTCTTGTCGAGGTGCAGGGGAGGAGAGATGATGCAGGCAGTATCTCAGCTCTGGATGCAGAAATGCCCTGCTCCTGCTTGCTCTCATCCAGCAGTCCCTGGGGCTTAAGAAACACTACCAGCAGGCGGGCACCTGAATTTTAGGAGCCCACCTGCTCTGTTTCTCCAGTGTCTGCACAGTACCTGGTACCCAGGGTGCTCGGTGAGTGACCAGAGAGAGAGGTGCCTGGTGTTTACTGTAGGTGGTCTTCTAAAAGGCCACAGACTGAGCCGCTGCCTTTGGTCCCCTGCTTAATATCCTAGTGACAGTGGAGCAAGGACACCTGCTTAGAAATTCCTGTAGCCCAGTTTGAAAGTGTGGGCTTGCTGAATTAGAGGAAGCAGTGAACGGGGTGGGGAGGGTGGAAGAACAGAGAACACGGCCCGCGATCACACCCATTAAGCCATTTTCAATACTTTAGCATGCCAGATTATCATTAGTATTTTGAAAATGTGAGAATCATGTTTCATTACTTCAAAGGAAGAGATGATTCTTATTATAAATATGACACTTAAATAATCTCATTTCTTCAAAAAATTTGCTCTTTGTAGTTGCCAACAATTGCTTCTCCTCTTTTCTGGCTGACAGATAGCTATTTTAATATTCATTACAGTCTTGTGCTATGAAATCCACGAGGTGAAAAGTGGTATTGGTTTAGGAGATGGAACAGAGTCCACAGCCTTTAATTTAGCACTCAAAAGTTTTTGCCATTACGCTTTGGGATGGTCAGCATTGGCTGTAAACTTGACAGGATCTAGAGCCGGGGTTCTCAACCTTCCTGGTGTGACGACCCTTGAATACAGTTTCTCATGTGTGGTGACCCCCCAGCCATAACATTACTTCACTGCTACTCCGTAGCTATAATTTTACTAATGTAAATATCCGATATGCAGGATATCTGACATCCATGTCACGACCCATAGGTTGAGAACCACAGATCCACAGTCACTGCTAAACCTTTATCTGTGTGTGTGTGTGTGTGTGAGGATCATCTACTTCAGGTTTATTGAGGTGAGGAAGGACACCCTAATTGTGGATGGCATCATTCCCTGGCCTGGGTACTTTGTAACACTGAGACAGTTATTACAATTATTTAGCCTTTCTGAGTCTTAATACTCATATATAAGTGGAAATGGTAAACATATTTAATGGAATTGCTATATCTATCTCATGAGGAGTCTATGTAAAATGTTTATATGGAACATTAGCACATCTTCTGGAAAATAATAAACAATACTCAATATCTTTTTTGTTATAATAGCCATTATATATACATATATATATATATATATACACATACACACATATGGTTACTGTAAGAATAACCATTGTTATTTTAAAACCATTTTAAACCCCAAATTTCTATCAAAACACTATGCAAAAGTATTGCAAAGCAAATCTTTTTTTTTTATATTTATTTATTTATTATGTGTACAATACTCTGTCAATATTTTGTCTGTATGCCTGCAGGCCAGAAGAGGGCACCAGACCCCATTACAGATGGTTGTGAGCCACCATGTGGTTGCTGGGAATTGAACTCNTCAGGACAGCCTGGACTACTCATAGAGAAACCCTGTCTCAAAAAAAAAAAAAAAAAAAAAAAAAAAAAAAAAAAAAAAAAAAAAAAAAAAAAAAAACAACAAAAAACAAAAAATGAAACAAAAACCTGGGTTTGAAGTGCCTCACCCAGGGGACTAGCCAGGTGGAAACGCACAGAAACAAGGCTCGAGCCGGTCCCCTTGCTCTGGTCACTGGCTGCCAGGACAACAGGTTCTTGGGTTACATGCTAGCTGGGTATTACTACCAACACCAGGAGCCATGATAAAGCCCTCCACCCTTGGCTGTTAGAGCCCTGGTACCTTTTTCAGATAACTTTGCCAAGGCAAAATTTAATATAATACTCCCGAAATTCTAGGGAATTAAGAGACCATGGGTTTTTAAAGAAACTGGTATGTCTGCTTATGAAAGCAACAATGGCCAGGTCCCATACCCACTCGGCCCTCTAGGAGAAAAATGGCCTGTACCTGAGCCTGTCTGGCCACCCTTACAAGCCAGCTACAGTTTCTGCACAGATGGAAACATTAGTGGCATTCCTAACATACTCTGAAATTTTTAATTTGTTCTGACAATGAAACTAACACAACGTAAGACTTACTCAAGCCCTCAGACAAGGCAAGACATTTATGGCCCTTGGAGGAGGCACCAAGGCAGCAGCTGGCAGGGGCATTGGCGGATTCTTGGGAAGGAGTGTAACAGACAGCCGAGCTAAGAGGTTTCAGGTGTCAGGGCCCAAGAAAGAGGTGGGGATGAGGATGACCCGGCCCTGGTGCTTAAAGACAGAAAACTGGGGAGATGCCTGAGGGCAGGGGCAGGATGCTTAGGACTTGTCCCCCATTTAGCCCATACAGGCTCTGGGAGCACAGAAGATGAGTGAACAGCCTGGGAGGAGAGCAAGTGCAGGGAAGAGGAAGTGAAGGGTCCCTGGGTCTGAGTTAAGTTCTGGGCTTGGACTTCAGCCTCGGGGCTAAAGCAGTGTCTCTTCCTTCTAAGGAGGTCCCCAGCTCACAGAACAGGATGTCAGCTTTCCGGTCTCTCCAAGTCCCTGGTGACTGGGACTCCCTGTGTCTCAAAAGCCACAAAAACAGCGAAGTCTCTTCAGAATGTCCTTTCAAGCAGCGGGCAGCCAGCTCTGCCAGCATAATGTCCTTTCTACCCAGTCTGCACCCAGAGGTAGGTGCTGATCCTCAGGAAGGGCCCCCAGGGCTCACACCCCACCCCCACTGGAGGATGCAGGCTGCATTGGCTCAGAACTCCCAGTCATCCACCTCCAGGTCTTCCAGGTTTGTCACCAGGCCAAAGAGTCCACTGTGATCCTGAGTCTGGCTGCCCTCAAAGTTGGTGATAGGGGTGACAGGGCGAAGCAATTCGGGCAAGGCCTCTGAGGCACGTCGCTTGATCTGAGGGAGAGAGAAGTTGGAGGGTAGATCCTACAACTCAGGACACTACAGGACCTTCAGTTACCAGACCAGGGTTCCTGCCCCGTGGTGCCCTGGAGCCAAAAAGGAAAGGCAGGCGAGTGCCTCATAGGGCTTCAAAAACACGGTATTCCTCTAGTTCAATCAGGCAGAGGAAGAACACCTACCCCCACACAAAGGGGTCGGAGGTGAGGGGGTGCCTACAACCACAGAGCAGCAGCAGGGTGGGAACCAGGGGAAAGCTTCCATACCTGCTTGAAGAAGGAGTGGTTCAGGAGGGTGCTGGCATTCGGCCTGAAGAGAAAAGGAAAGAGACTCACATGACCCCTGGGCTCAGCTGTCCAAACCCTGACACTCACCCTCTCCTCCGAGACCCTCCACCTTTTCCCTCAGCTCTCCCAACAGCTACCAAAGCCACCCAGGCTGTCTTCTTAGCAGAAAGCTGGTTCTTCTTGCTGTGGAGCCACACACTCCTCTGGGAATCCAGATTTCTACCTAAGAGCCGGCCTCCCTGCTGGGTGGAAACCCCAAGCTCCCCGTCCCCCGGAAACTCAGCTGAGGGCCAGCAGAGTACCTTGCGTCAGGGCTGCGCTGAAGGCACTGCTCCACAAAGTGGTGGAAGTGGGGGGAGAAGGTTCGGTGGTACGGGTGGGAAGGCGAGTCACCGTTGGAAGGCCGGAGGCTGCCAGTGGCCAGGCTGTCGTTGGCAATGGAACGTGAGGGGCTCATGGTCAGCTCCTCGGCTGGGATGGTGCTGGTGTCCAGGAGGCAGGGCACTGTGCCATTCAGCTTCTCCAGCAGCATCTGGTGAAGAGACAGATCGGGGCTGTGCTCTCGCTCCCTCAACAAATGGGATCTCTGGGGCTGGGTAGGGTTATGACAATTTGACACTAACAAGAGTCATCTGAGAGAAGGGAGCCTCAGGGGGCATTTTCTCTTAAGACAGGGTTTCTCTGTGCAGCCCTGGCTGGCCTCAAACACAGAGATCCGTCTGCCTCTGTTTCCCAAGTGCTGGGATTAAAGGCGTGTGCCACCACTGGCCAGTGGGCATTTTCTTTTTTTTCCAAATATAACTTTATTTTGTTGACTCTTTTTCTTTTAAATGTGCATTGTAGTTTTGCCATGAGTGTTGAGTCCCCTAGAAACTGGAATTACAGTCATGAGCCGCCAGGTGGATGGTGGGAATCGAACCTGGATCTTCTGGAAGAGCAGGCAGTGCTCTTAACCAGAGACATCTCTCCAGCCCACTGGGCATTTTTTAAATTAGTGGCTGATGGGGGAGGGTCCAGCCCATTGCGAGTGGTGGGTTCTATAAGAAAGCAGGCTGAGCAAGCCAATAAATAGCATTCCTCATAGCCTCTTCTTCAGTTCCTGCCTCCAGGCTCCTGGCCTGCCTTCCCTCAGTGATGGGCTGTTTCCTGGAAGTGTGGCCATGGTGTTCCACCACAGCAATGAACACCCTCAGACATCATGTAAAGCTGGCTTTTGCAAAGGAACACTGGCCACTGGCTGGCAGTGAAGGCACATGGGAGGAGGGGCTACAAGTGCCCTCCACCAGGGCTGGACTGAAGAGCTGAGCTTCCTCTCGCCTTTGACAAGGCATGGAACTCCTCTGACTATAGAGCCTGCTCTTGAGCGCAGCGGTGGAGCGACATTAATCTCTGTGAAGCCCAGCACCACTCTGCTAGGCCTAGAAGGGTTCAGTGGAGTCCACGATGTGGCATCTGCAGCGCAGCACCTGGGCTGATGGGCATGCTGCACCTGGGCAGACCCCACCTGGGAGGCTGTTTCAAAGCCTTCAAGCTTGGTACATGCAAAACCAGCCACACCTTGAAGGCAGCTGCCTTTTTATGTGACCCCAGGAACGTCCTGAGCAGCCCAAACAGAACTTGGAGCTGTCTCTGGGATTGTGCTAATATGGGAGCCTCTAACAACGTTACTATTTAAGTTAGCCTTAAATTCAATCCCTCCATCTCTGTGACCACATTTTAAGTGATCACTGTACCAAGTGGCCAGTGGCCCCCTTATTGCAGAAACTGCAGGGACAGATACTTCCATTATGGCAAAACTTTTTATTGGACAATGTTGCTTCTGGACCTGAACCACTAACTAGGTTCACACTAAGTTCATACTAACTGGGTTTTAACTAACTAGCTCAAACTAACTAGGTCCATACTAACTAGGCCCACACTAACTAGGTCCACACTAACCAGGCTCACACTAACCAGGCCCAAACTAACTAGGCTCACACTAACTAGGCCCACACTACGCTCACATTAACTAGGCTCACGCTAACTAACCATCTTATTCCTTCTTGAGCAGATCCTGTTAATCAATTATTTTTCTTACACAATTCTCCCTCCTTCCTTCCTTCCTTCCTTCCATTTCTTTTTGAGATACAGTTTCTCTGTGTAGCTCTGGCTCTCCTAGAACTTGCTCTATAGACCAGGCTGGCCTTGAACTCAAGAGCTGCGCCTGCCTCTGCACCCCTAGTGCTGGGATTAAAGGCGTGCGCCACCACTGCCCAGCACACATTTCTTATATGTAGGCTCCACACCCTAATTATTCTGTCAGAGCTAAATTAAGCTAAGATCGAGGATGGATAGTTCTGAGTCGCCTTTCGGGTAGATAGATGGTCAGATAATCTGCTGTCGTCACCCCTGTGTGTATCTCTGGCACTTCCCTATTCTCTGGGACGTGAACCAAAGATCCTAGAGATCACACAGGTATGCTCTTGCTTCCTTCTCCAGCCTCATCCCCCAGCAGCCCCGAGATGCCTGGACCCAGTCATTTACAATTCTGTGCTGTGCCCAGATCTAGTTCTCTGTTAGCACACGCATGTATGTTGCTGGAAACTGGTCAGGACCCGTGATATCCTAGGCAAGCACTCTACTGTGGTGGAATATTACTTTAACTATGTAAAGATGTGCTACATTTGTTTATGTTGCGGACTATTACTTTAACTATGGGAAGGTGTGCTACATTAGCAGCTTCTGCTGCCTTTGTTAACTATGTAAAGGCATTACATTTGCTTGTGCTACATTTGTCTAATTATGTAAAGATGTGTTGCTGTTTCACCATGCCTCCCTAAAGCACCTGACTGGTCTAATAAAGAGCTGAACAGGCAGAGAAAGACTAGGCAGGCTGGTGGACAAAGAGAATAAGTAGGAGGAAAACTCTAGGAAGAGAGAATGAAGGAGAAACAGAGGAAGACACCAGTCAGCAGACAGAGTAGGACACACAAAAAGGTAAAAAGCCCCAGAGCAAAATGCAGATAAAGAGAAACAGATTAAAATAAGAGCTAACTAAGACCAAGCATTCATACCTAATAAGTCTCTGTGTCATGTATGATGTGGGAACTGGTTGGTGGCCCAAAGAAAAGGCCAGGTACACCCTACCACTGAACCATACTTCTGTCAAGGGCAGGCTTCTGTTCCTGCTCTCGTTCTTTCTTTCTTTTTTAATTTGGTTTTTTGAGACAGGGTTTCTCTATGTAGCCCCAGCTACATAGAGGAACTCACTCTGTAGACCAGGCTGGCCTTGAACTCACAGAGATCCAACTGCTTCTACCTCCCAAGTGCTGGGATTAAAGGCATGCGTACTACTGCCTGGCCTGTTCCCGCTCTTTATATGGTCAACTGCTATTAGCTTTTAAGGTTAGATCAGGGGCTGGAGAGAGGACTCAGTAGTTAAGAAAGCTTGCTGCTCTTACTGAGAACCTGAGTTTGGTTCTTGGCATCCATGTTGGATTACTTTCTACTGTCTGACTCCAGTTCCAGGAGCTCTGACACCCTCTTCTGAACTCCTTAGGCACACACATACATGGCGTGTGTGCGCATGTGTGTGCACACAATTTTTTTTAAGCATTAGACAAAGTATTATCACCCCCTAGAAGTTCCTTTGGTCTCTGCTCAAGGTAGCCGACTCAGCCATTCTCTAGCTTCGGCCTGCAACCCCAAGGTGAGCGATCTGTGAGCCTGAGGGGAGGCCTGCTCAGGCTCTTGCCTCCTCCTAGTTCTAGGTCTTGTTCCTCAAGATTCAGGTGACACTTGCCCAGACAATCCCAACTCCATTTCCTGGGTGTAATAGGGCCTGGACAAGTTTCTTCTCTGGGTCTGTCTGTCTAAGAGCAGACTACACCACTGGCCGTGACCTACAGGCAGGCATGGCAGGGGTATGAGCATAAGCTGGACTCAGAATGCAGGATCTAAAAGTGTGTGCCAGAATACAGTGGCACAATACTCAGAGATGCCAGAGAATTTGAAACTGGACACTGATCATCTAGTTGTACTTAGGAAGGAAGACAACAAATCTGATGAGTTTATAAGGACAGGGAAACTTAGCTAGGCACGGTGGTGCGTGCTATAAACACAAAACTTGGAAAGTGAGGCAGGAGGATTGCTCTAAGTTTGATACTAGCCTGAGCTGCGGAAGAGGCTATTCCACAAAACAAAGCATAACAGAACTGGTCAGTGCCATTCACAGTCTGCAGAGCCATGCAGTGTCCAGTGTGATGTGGCCTCTCTGCACTGCCCTACTCGCCCCGCCCCATGGGTTGGGCTTGGCGACCACAACATTCATCACCAGAGAAGGGAACAAAGAATTGCACAAGCGCCCTCCACCAAGCGGGTGGGAAACTTCTTGAAGCAAAAAGACTGACTCTAACATATTAGTAACCACAGTCAGTGTCCCAGTGTGGCAGGAATCAGTGGGCATCTGTGGAAGGCAGGCAGCAGAGAAGAAAGGGAACACTAGTCTGCAGGCTCACCTGAGTGGCAGGCATATCCTTGAAGGGGACATGGCCATTAGCTAGTTCACACGCTGTGATCCCCACACTGTAGATATCAGACTTGGCATCATAACCCTGAAGATTCTAAGTAGGAAGAAAAAGGCACAGGTGATCCATTTGCAGCCCTGCTCTGAGGAGGTGAATACCCGTCGCAGTCAGGACCAGACACTGACCACGCTCCTCACCTTCCACTGCAGGGAATTGCTGTGTGAGGAGAGCCACTGTCTGGCGCTGCTGCAAAATGAGCAGGCACACTGGCATGGGTGTGCCCGCTATGCACAGAGATCCAGAGCACCAAATATTTCCAGAACGTTCTCTATCTTTAGGGTGCTAAGTGTCCCTGAGGTAGACACTAGGGTCAGGTTGGGGACCCCACACATCCACAGCTGCCAGGAATGGGTGACACAGCACACCTGGCCAACAGGGGCTCTTCCCTCCAGAACCTCTTACTCTACCAGAAACAGGGAGAAGCCCCATCCCAGCAAATTCCTGGGCTTCCTTAGGAAATTATGAGTGGGTGGGAGAAAGGGGCTCCTTGGGCCCAAGGACACAGACCTGCTGGAGAACTTCTGGGCTGAGCCACGGCAGGACCTTGACACTGTATTTTGGAAAATCATGGACTGCACGCTGCCGCTGCCCATGGCTGATCATGCTGAGGTTGCTGCGTAGACCGGACAGGTAGACCTTCCCATCTGTAGAAATCAGAATGTGGCTGGCCTTGACACTCCTGCAGGGAGGTGGAGAGAGTGTCACACACGGTCCTGATGCTACAAATCTGCAGTCTCCAAATATTAGACCTGGTCAGCTCTCACCCATATCGCATGCATATAAGTGCATCTCATACATACATAAAGGTATTTATGAATATTTTCAAACATACCTGAAAACAAGAAAGTAACATGCCCCATTCATGCACCATTAGGTTTTCTGTTTTAAGATTTATTTATTATGTACACAGTATGTACATGTATGTCTCCATGCCAGAAGAGGGCACCAGATCTCATTACGGATGGTTGTGAGCCACGATGTGGTTGCTGGAAATTGAACTCAGGACTTCTGGAAGAGCAGCCAGTGCTCTTAACCTCTGAGCCATCTCTCCAGCCCAACATTAGATTTGTTTGTTCTGGGTTTTCAGACAGGGTTCTCTCTGTAATCCTGACTGTCCTGAAACCCACTCTGTAGACCAGGCTGGCCTTGAATTCACCTGCTTCTGCCTCCCGAGTGCTGAGTGCTGGGATTAAAGGAGTGCGCCATGCGCCACCATACCCAGCCATTTGATTTAAACAAACAAACAAACAAAAAAGGTTTTTTTCTTTTTTCTTTTTCGAGACAGGGTTTCTCTGTGGTTTTAGAGCCGGTCCTGGAACTAGTTCTTGTAGACCAGGCTGGTCTCGAACTCACGGAGATCCGCCTGCCTCTTGCAAAGCAAATCTTATAAGCTAAATCTGGATTCATTTTGCTATCAGACTGTAGCTGGCTCCCCCTCCCCGCCCCCACACCTCCAGAATGACCTGCCTTAACTTACATTCCAGGGTATTCACAGGTGCCCATAGGGATGGGAATTCCTGTGTTTGTGTCTCCTTTGTACCCAGTGATCCCAGCAAGCAGCTGAGCAGTCATTTTGGTGTGAGACAAGCAAGTAGGTACTGAGGGTTTGTGGATTTGATCTAGTGACAGATGCTGCATTTGAACACCCATGTTCTTTCTTGGAACAGCCTCCCATGCATGACATGGACTGTGCGCTTAGCAGAAACTGGTTTTGAATTCCTGCTTAAACCACTCACGTGATGGGATTAAGGTGCACAGCATACATGTGTACCTTTTGTCTAGACAATGCCCCAAGTCCCCTGGGTTAAGCATGGATCTCACATTCCATCCAACCTGCTGCCCCGTGCCTCTAAGGCTGTCAAGATAACTGGCTTACATGCAGCGAGGAAGAATTACCATGACCACTAATGGGTAGTTAGGGCCAGTGTTCCAGTTTAAAGGCTTTCATGGGCTGTGAAAACTAGTGAGTAAATAACCGTTTATCAGCCAGTCACTTAGAGGACTCTGCATTGAATGCTGTTCTAGGGCTTTCAAACACATATAAGTCATATATCATAATGGGGCATAAAGGTTAAGTGTGAGGAGGCTGTAAAACTGAACAAGTGTTTACCTTAGTGAAGGTTTTATTTGCATGCCCTCCAGCAGACTGTGCTGCACACGGAGACTGCTGATCCAGCTTCAAGTAGGGCTCTGCTAAGAGGCGATGCACAAGTTGACGGTATAATTTCAGAGGTTCAGGGAAAGTCTCTCTGGCCTCCTCCAAAACTCATTCTGCCTGCTTAGTGATTAAAATTTTAACCAGGAACCAAAGCCGTAGCTCCATAATTACAATTTGATTTGAAAAGTTTAGCATAGGTTTCACATAGAATACTGCTTAACGTATAAACAGCCGTATCGAGAGTGTCACAGAATCCTCTCTTATGGGTCGCCTCCTTTCTTCTCGAGTGCTCCAATCAGTCTTACTGCTGCCCCCAATTATGAAGAGGGACCTGCGACTCAGAAAAGTTAAACGAGTTGTTTGAGGGCACTGTCTGGTTACGCAGGGGCCAGAATCCCGGGTTTCAGATGAGCATCCCTGGCTGCAGTCTTTTCTGCTTTAGCCGACTCTTACACTTGCCATGCAGGCGCCGGTTTGGAAAAGGAAGACATATGACCTGGAGAGTGGGCTCATCACTCTTCCTCAGCTCTGCCCATCCAGGACAGCCCCCGATGCCCCCATTCTGCATGGTTCCCTACCCACTCCTGGCTGATATTGCTCACAGTTTCTGAGTGCTGATGAGTATACACACATGTCCTCTAAGCTTGCTGAGTGGACGGTATCCAACATTTGATTGTATTGCTGGGATCTCTCCCCACCACCCCCAGAATCCTGTTACCACAGGGAGCTTCCAGAGATCCACTGTTTTTTTTCATTCATTGGGAACATTTCTTTTAAATTTGAGAACCTATTACATACAGTACGTACAATCCAGATGTTGCTTGACCGAGTCTCCTCTATGACTGCTCTGTCATGACGGACTGACTTAACCCCTCCTGAACCTGGTAAGGTAGAATCTTTCCCCACTTAAGTTACTTCTATTGGGCACTTTGGTTAGAACAACCCCAAAACAATATATTGGGCTTCATCCCCCTTGGCTAACAGTAAATGACAAAACACGAATCTGTCACCTACTTATAGGAAGTGTACTCAGAGTAGTTTTGGAAAAACCCTTGATGAAACCCGATCTTTAGATGCGAATAAAAAGAATGAATACTTAGTGGTGTGATCTGCCCCAGGAGAAGCAGGAAAGCAGAGCTGGTTCTCTGCAGCTCTCCAACTGGTCGACCGCACGAACTGTCTTAGTGGGAGTGTTCCACAGAAGATGCTAGAGGCCAGGGTGGTTAGGTTGCGGACAGGATGTAGCAGTTTCTTAGTATTACCAAGATCTTGCTGGTCTTGACTCCGGATAAGTCACTGCGCCAGTGTCTTTTCTGAGCGACAGTCCCTGAGCCAAAGAAAAAGAAGCAGAATAAGAAATGACCTTCAGTGTGTCATTGTTTAATGACATTTGTGACGGTCCTTTCATTTTACCTATACCAACAGCAATACTTGAATGAGTTTTAGCTGAATTCCTATTCTATTTATTTCCATGCTAGCTTCATTTCTAAAATCACCTTTTCCTGAATGACAACTCAATCAATTCAACAACACACAATTTTACACAGTGGGAGCCCATTCCCGTGTCCCTCCTCAAACTTGTCATTGTTGGCGACTTTGCTGAGCAGCCACGTGCGTTTCGGAGTTATTTGCAGCTCCAGGCTCCTGAGGTGGCCTGGCACCATTCTGACTTGAGGTTGAGACGTTCTCCTCTTCTCCTGTTTGTCACCCCAGGGCTGCCAGCCTGTGCCCACTCTCCCACCAATTCGGTCGTGTTAAGGAACTGTCAGCTGGAGCAGCTTCATTTTAGATGTTTTGTGAAAGGCTGGAATTCCTCCCCTTCCCTTGCCACTTTGTTTCTTGGACCTTCGGAATCCTGCCAAGGTAAATGAAGGTGACACGAACATGTACATTTTGGCTTTGTTTTTCAGGGCTGAGTAAAATGATGGACAGGACTGTATGCAAGAGAAAGGGAAGGCAAGAGATGGGCTGCACACATTGGTTGATCCCGAGAATCTGTGGGTAATGACCCGGAAAAAAAAAACCCTTCTGATTGAAAATTTGAATCATTAAATGCTTTGGAACCAACAGCTTCTTATAGAATTTCAGTCTTCTCTGATTTGCTGTGGGTCAGTGCTATGGCGGTCTGAGCCACAGGCCAAATTGTCAATCAAAATGAGCAGGGCTTGTCCATGGCCTCTGTTGTTCATAGATTATATTAAACACTTTCAAAGGCTGCAGTAGTTCTTCCAGGGAACCAGAGTGGTCATCATTGCGCAGTTCTCCCTGGACTTTCATTGATTTAGAATTTGCATTTCTCATTATTTGCAAATGACCCTCTGGGTTCAAAATTTGTATTATAATTTGTATTTTTACTGAAGCATGAATTAGAATTATGCTTGCTGGCTGGAATGCTGGAGTTTAGTGGTGGGTTGCATGGTTAGTGAACAAGCTGGACATCCTGTCCCCAGATCTGTTGAAATAGGAGCGGCGGCGGGGCTGCGTCCCCAACACTCCGGCCGCTTGGCTAGCTCATGCCCGAAATAACAACACACAAACTGTATTCATTTAAGAACTGCTTGGCCCATGAACTCTAACCCTTACAGGCTAATTCTCGCACCTGGACTAGCCCATTTCTAATGATGTGTGTAAGCACCCCAAGGTGTGCTTACCGAGAAGATTCTAGCCTCCATCCATCATTGCGTCTACCCAGGAGAGCTGAGCATGGCGTCTCTCTGGGAGCAGAGCAGAGTCTGACCTCACTTCCTCTTCCGCCCAGAATTCTATTCTGTTTACTCCTCCCATCTATGTTC